ATTCTAGATGGGAAATCACATTTAGAATGTTGTGATGATGCTCAGGGAATGAATGTAAATTAATAAAAAAAAAATTTTCAGAAGAAAAAAAAAAAGGCATTAGAAATACCTATTTGATGACTGCAGTTAAGCTATATAGCCCTAGTTAGGTGCTACTTTACAGTATGTTCATTCTATTCACTGAGGTTTATGCCTAAAGTCAGTCTTGTGTTCATGGATATGTACATATCAGCTGTGCTTGCTATTGAAAATATTTAGATTTATTAAGATATTTAGTGAAACAATAAAATGGGGGAGGCATAGAAAGCAACAATAGATACCAGACACAGTGTGGGAGGAGGGTGGGAGATGGCAGAGGGTGAGATAGGGAATCAAGGATGGGAAAAAAGGCAAAATATACAGAAAACAAGAAATGGAAAATGATTTGTTGACAATAACACATATGTTGATGTGCTTGATTGAGCCAATATACAGTGTATTCTCAATGGAAAAATCTCATTTTGTATGCTATAATGATGTACAGTGAATGAATGTAAATAAAGAAAAAAATGTAAAAAAAAAAAAAAAAAAAAAACCTGCAAGGATTCTCAAAAAAAAAAAAAAAAGAGAACGTATGTAATTCACCACTCCTTAAGCATCATCTGCACATGTTCTTTCCTCCCAAAGAGGACAGTATGGAAAAGGGGGATAAAAAAGACTAACTTTTTGCCCACTTCAGAAGCACATATATTAAAACTAGAAAGATACAAAGATTAGCACGGCCCCTACATAAGAATGAGATGACATGCAAACCTGTGAAGTGTTGCATATTTTTGCAGACTCCCACATGAAGTCAATCATGAGGTTCAAATCATATTTCTGATGGCTTGGAAAATATTCCAGACCTATAAGCAGACATGTCCCATATCCAGACAGGATGGAGAAATAGAGGAGAGGAAACTGTGGTGTGATCATGACCCAAGGGGAGTCCGTACTCCCTCTCCATCTCTGCCTCTCTTAGCCAGTGCATGTGCCCTTTGGCAAAATAAGGGGGAAAAAAAGAAAAAAGGAAGAAAAGAGTAACTTTACAGCAGAGAAACCTGACAAACAGCACCTCAGTGAGGTCAAGGTCAGCACCAATAGTGACAAGTCACATGAACAGTGTGGACCTTCGATGTGACAGGATGACAGTGGCACTTTATCTTGGTGGTCTTCCTTCCAAACCCCATAACCTCAGTCTAATTATGAGAAAAACATCTGAAAAATCCAAATCGAGGGACAGGCTACAAAATATCTGTACCAATACTCCTCAAAACTGTCAAGCTCATCAGAAAACAAGGAAAGTCTGAGAAATTGTCATGGCCAAGAGGAAACTAAAGACACAGATGAACTTAACATGTATCTTGCATGGGATCTTGAATAGAAAAGGGACATCAGATAACATCTCACAAAAAATCAAGAAATCTGAATAAAGTATTCACTTAATGTATTGATCTGAGCTCATTATTGTTACAAATGTACCGGACAATTATTAACATGAGCCATGTTAACAATAACACAAACCAGGTGTGTGATACATGGGAACCCTCTGTACTGTCTTCATTATTTCTCTGTAAATCTAAAACTCGGCTAACATTAAAAAATAATTTTAAAAAAATAATGTTTCAGAGCCAGCATGTAATGTGGTGATTAAGGCACTGGTTTCCTAAATGGTCAACTACAGTTCAAGTCCAGGACCTGACAGCTTGAAAATCACGCCAGGCACAAGTGCATGTGCATGTGCGTGCATGCTCAAAATCCTGAGAGGAGAATGGAGAAGGGATTGCAGCATGGTCATCCCCCTTGGGGTAGATTTCTTATTTTCCCTCTCTCTGTCTTTCTCTGTCTCTCCCTAGCAAGTGGATGTGCCCTATGGTAAAAACCTAAAATAATAATAATAGTTTCCAGACATGGCCAAATGCCACTCCCAGCTGAAAACACTGTCATGGAATAGCTGGGCTCAAGTCCCACACCCACTCCTTTCTGGCTGTGTGGCATTGGGCAAATTCCTTAATATATATATCTCTGAGCCACCTAAAAATGGAAACGATCTCAGGATCAGCGGATGGCTACATTGCTGGACTCCCATGTAGTCAACTGTGGTTCAAGTCCCAGATCCACCAGCTTAAAACTAATGCTAGGTGGGTGTGTGTGTGTGTGTGTGTGTGTGTGTGTGTGTGTGCCCAAGATTCCAAGAGGAGAATGGAGGAGAAAGATTGAGGCGTGGCCATCTCCCTGGGGGTGATTTCTCGCTTTCTGTCTCTGTCTCTCTCTCATTCTCTGGCAAGCGCAAAATGCCCTATAACAAAAATCTCTCTTAAAAAATTAAAATGACCTCAAAGAATTGACATGAGGATTAAGTGAAGTAACCTATGTCGACTGGCACTTAACAAGCACTCGATAGATGCTGTCAATGACAGTGTCCGTGATAATTAGTATTATCAGTTTACTTTGTCCGAGTGACCAACTATTGACACACTTGTTGCTAACCCACCAGGCTCTAGGAAAAAAAAAATACTTCAAGGGCAAACTGGTTTAGATAAATCTCCCTTCTTGCTTTGAAGAACAGAATGTGCCTTTTAGAAAATGACAAACTCTGCCCTGAACCTGCAGCCTTTCTCAGGAAAAGCCCAAACACTGATGGATGGTGGCATTTTCCACACTAATGCGAGACAGCCCAGCAGCCCGCATCAGATTTACTTTGGTTGGACTCATTTATTGAATCCCGTGGCGAGAAAGGAAGCATGATGGCAGAAGTGGGAGATGGAGCCATTCGTCTGCTGGAGAACAAGGATTGGGGAAGTGACAAGAGTGGACGCCATTCCACGAGGGGTTGCCCGGATGCTGGATGGTTTTAGGGTGAATTATGCCCATGGGAAGTTTCCACACTACTCTTCAGCTATAGAATATTTAAATCGTAGTTGTTGAAACTCCCACTTCACAGTGTCCTGGCCTCACAGTGGTCTAGATAAAAGAATGAACAAACAAAACCTCTGCTGTTAGGGAGCATAAGGCTGATAGAAACCATGGAACAACATACAATTTAATTTTTCAAGGCACACAGATAAGGGCCAGCAGAAGACTACCACTCTGGACACTTATAACTTGGAAAAATACACAAAGATGTCACTTACATGGCAACAGAGTGAAATAGGAGCCCTGGCATCACAGTACCCTGGATTCCGATTCCTCCACTGTCACTTTCCAGTCGAGAGGCTGTGGCCAGGCTCGCTCACTTCCCTGAGCTTCCATTTCTTTTTTCTTTTTATTTATTGCCAGAGGCATGTGCTCCCACAAGAGAGAGAAAAAGGAAAAATCACCCTGAATAGAGTATGCGCACATTGCAATCCTTTTGCCTCCATTTGTCCTTTCTGTTGGGATTTTGGGCACATATGCACGCGTGTCCTGGTGTGTTTTTCAGGTCCCCTAGGTCATCCACATGAAGTCTAGTATTCTATGCACAGGGTTTAACCACTGCACTATGAGGCGTCCCTCCACGCTTTCATTTCTTTCTCTAGAAAGTGTGATTGTGAAGAATAAATGAGAATATTTTGTCAAAAGAAACCAAAAGGACCCAGAAAGGTAACAATGGCTACAGAGAGGACAATGACCCTAGGCATGCTGTTCCTGGTGAATGATGACTTCCTGACATTCAGGGACATAAGAGGAACACACTGTATCTTCTAAAAGACAAATCTTCATTTTCTCCAACTAAGGACCAATTGGATGCCTTATCCCCTTAGAGCTGGAGTTAAGAAAGAGTAGAATTTGGGACAACATACCATGGTTTTTAAAGGCACTGGACTCCCACATGGCCAACTGCAGTTCTAGTCCTAGACCCAGTGCCTCGCCTTCTCACTTTCCCTCTCTCTCTGTCTCTCTCTGTTCAAATTTAAAATGATAATAATAATAAATAAAATTAAATAATTTTTGAAAGAAAAGAGTAGAACCTGTTTAAACACATCCCTGCATGCAGTTACCAAATAATAAATTAAAGGACCACATGATGAGAAGTGTTCAGTCTAATCAGTCTTCGTGAGGAGAGGGTGCTGGAAAGAAGGCTAATTGGGATCGGGCATAGGCCCCTCGACCCCATGAGAGAGAGGCATGTAAGATTCGGGGAAATTGGCCATGAGCTGTTGCATTGGTTACTCTTTGGCTTCTTTGGCCTTGCCCCTTCCCTTGAACCCTGACCTCTGAAATCCTGATTGAGCCCACTTCTCTGACTACACTCACTCCTTCATTCAAGAGGTACTTGCTCAGTGCCTACCGTTGCTGGGTACAGGAGATAACAGTAGTGAACACAAGCAGAATGGCAGCTAGCTTTCTAAAGGTAGAAATAAACAATGATTGAGGAAAAACAGATAAACAAATGAATAAAAAGACCACCTCGGTAATGTGCTCTATAAAGAAACTAAGTCAGAGCCAGGGACAGAAGGTAACCAGAGTGTAGGTAAATTCTGGATAGGGATAAGGAAAGCATCTCCAGAGACACAGCCTTGTAGATGAGATATAAAGGCAGAGAGAATCCAAACATGCAGGGATTTGAAGAAAGAACTACCCAGGCAATGTGGTAGCCAGTGCTGAAGACCTGAGCTGGGGATATTCTTGATGGCTTCTGGTTGTTGAACTTTGTGTGCCTGACCCAGATCTGATCATCTAACTACTTCCTACTTAACAAAGCATTCATATGTTGGCCTTTACCTACATGGGGTGTTTATCTGAGAAGTCATTCATTCATTCATTCATTCACACACTAATTTACTAAGTGCTTATTATCTCCTAGGCATTAAATGGTGACTAAGACAGGAATAAGATAGTGAATAAAACAAACATAATGCCATCCTCAAGGAACTTAGCGTGTATAGAGATGAACTTCAAAGCATTCCAGTGCCCAGTGTGCCATGTGGTGGTAGCTCAGAAAGCATCTTCAGAGTCCCTCCTTTGGAATTGGTCCCTTGCTTGGAGGATGGAATACCAAAGGTCAAATGCAGATTGATGTTGTGCAAACAGCTGGAGCTTTAAGTCAGAAAGGACCCGAGCTTCTGTCCTAGTACTACCCCTGGCTGGCATGGGGAGCTTTGCAAAGTCTCTTAATCTCTCCGAGTCTCAATCCTCTCCCTCTAAAATGCCTTATTGTATGAGACTTAGCTGTTCAATCTAGCACAGGGCCTAGCACACAGCAGGTTCCCCATAAATGATTCAGGTGAAATCTTACCTTGTTTTTGCTTTCTTTTTGAATTGCTTTCTAGAAGAGGAAAATTATGTAAACTACTTCAGAAAGAAATGGAGGGTTTTTGTTAATAGAGCTTAATCTGATTTGTACAAGCAGAATATTATATCCTCTTAAAAGCCAAATGGGATATTTTTCCCAAAGATAACCATTCTACTTTCTTAATTAACACATTCATTTTCACTTTCTTTTTTGAGCGATTTTTGCCATAGGGCATGTGTGCTCACTGGAAAGACAGAGACAGAGAGACAGAAAGCAGAAAAGCATACCCCATGGGGGATGACCACACCATAATCCCTTCTCCTCCATTCTCCTCTCAGGATCTTGGGCACGTGTGCACATGCACCCGACATGAGTTTTAAGTCTCTGGGTCTAGGACTTGAACCACTGGACTACATGGCAGTCCAGCAATATAACCATTACACCACCTTCTGGTCCCAACACATTTATTTTCAACAGAGCTCTCCTAAGTACCCCCTTTTCTGAGACTTGGATTTTCCAGTTATCTCTGCAATAATATTGGGTAAACAATTATCTAATATTTACTTGGATGTAGTATAAAA